CTCTCTGTGAAATCACTCTCTATAACAATAATACCTGTAGAAAACTTAAATTAATTGTAATGTTATTCAGTGTTTCCACTGAAGCTTGTACTTTTTAATGGGGGGAAGTTTTCTTTAAGATCATAGAACACATGTTACTCTGTAACATGACTTCTGAGATGTAAAACGAGTTTCATCTTCACAGCATTATAACTGCAGGTTAATGTTGCTGAAAGCTCAAGTGAAAGAGCTTTTTGCAAAGGGTGCTTCCATTCATTTTCATTTTATCTCCAAGATAGGCTTCAAGCTTGAATAGTGCACACTCACACACACACTCACTGTGCATGAGACTCACTCTCATGCACAGTGGTGTCAGATGGGGACAAGACAGTGTGCTATTTCCTCTCTCTGTATTTCAAACCTGACAGCTTGAATTGCACCTGCTTCCCCTCACTGCGTCAAAGTGGAAAGAAGTTAGGAGAAAACCACAAAGTAATCAGCAGCTACACATGACTGCACATTCATTCTAGAATAGGAGCATTTGGCAGCATACAAACATTTACAACTTGTCCCACTTTCATGAATATTTTTAGTCATGTGTGGCATATTTATAGGATAAGTGTTTATCTCGAAGGAATACATAAAACCTGAGCAGAAGTCGTTTGCATCGTCCAAAGTAAACTGTATTGCCCAATGGCTGACATTGAATGCAGCGCTCTGTTGTGGGCTTTTCTGCAACTGTGTACTGTTACAGTTATTGCAGTGACGGTCTGTAATGGGAGTGTAATGTGTATTTGCGGCCTTAGTGACTGATGAGCTGTCAGGGTTTGGCACACAAAAGCTCTGGGACATTTCCTCAGTGGAGTGAGAGTTCACATCAGCCAGCCAGTGTCATTTACAGAAGGCTGGGAAATAGCAGAGTGTTGAGATGATAGGAGCTTAAGGTGGAAAGTTATGTTCATCAGGGAGGAGCGAGAGAAAATAAGGGTGGACGGAGGTGAAAGGTTTGATGGTTCGACTGATGAAAAAGGGGGATTGTTCAGGTCAAGTTTTAATGTGATAGATTAAGATTAGAGAGAAAGTTTGCAGGAGTTTCTAGAATATTCTGAGCTTCCTATATTTACATTTGGCTAATTATTTCTCTGCATTTGTAGGACTTTCAAAAGACAATCCTACAATTACCATAATGCAATTCGAAAGTGACATTACAAGGGTTATTTTTCTCCAGAGCCACAAAACACATTGTGCAACTGATTTCTGTTCTAACAGGCTCAGTAGTACTCCTACTACTGCACTGATCTCGACATGTAAAATTGGTGGAATTTCCCTTTACCTAAAAGCACACACGTGCACCTCTTCCTGTTGTCGGTTGGCCAACAGAGTTTGCTCAACCTGAGTATGTTGATTCCTGTTGCTCTTTGCGCAAACTTGAACTGCTCTTGCTCTAAAGAAAACAAGAGTCACACCAGTGCCCTTATCTGTGAGATACAAGATATGAGATTGATGTTGAAATATATATCTGATGTCACTGAGTAGAAAAATAGAAATTTGCTCCTGCTCTACATTTGATAAGATAAAACGCAGAATGAAACCTGATAGTACGACGATGAGCCGAATGAACAAACCATCTGGTTGCTGCAAAGCTTGGCTCAGTACCCGCACCTCTAATTGGACGAGGGGAATACGGTCCTGTGGGTTCTGACAAATAGAGAAGTGGTTGTGATTCTCTCCAAGCGGCAAGTTTAGGTAAATTAAACTGTAGTCATAAATGAGATTAAGTGATGAAAAGACTCAGATATAGCGTATTGAGAATAATAATGAATAGGAAAGTTTGGACTATAGCGGCACAGAGGAGAAAAGGAAAGACTGGCGTACACTCAGCTGCTCCAGAAGAAAGGAAGAGGGGAAATTCCACGTCAATGTCAAGAGTTTCACATAGAGCCCAGATCTTTGGAGGGTTTACTAATGCGTCTCCTGTTGAGTCACAACAATATTAGTCATCTAATTTTTTTTACATTGTGGGTCAAAGAAAATTCCAATTGGATGTTAGAATGACCTTCTGCTTCCATTGATCAGTTGTCAATCGGACTACTCATTCTAATGTAAAAGACATATGTTTTCTTGCAGGGCTTTTTCCATGATGAAAAATAGATCTCCTTATATTCCTAATAATGTGACTAACAGGACACAAGGAATAATGTCACTATCTGACTAAACTTGATCAACTCAGAAAATTACTACCGTGATTTTTTTCTTTCGTCAGATGTACACAGCATGTTTTTTTTAAGTGTGCTGGCACATTTCACCAGAACATTGGCTAGGTAAGGGGTTCGCACTGCAGCTGGGGCCCTACCACAGATTGTCACCCAGGGATTAAAGGCCCGCTGTGAAAATTAGAGATGACTTATCACCGGCTTTGTATTAAACAGTCGTCCAGCAGTAGAAACTGGTCCAAAGAGAGAGGGAGGGAAGGGGTAGAACAGAACGACAGCTGAGGTCCTACAGTTTTACATAGGTAATACATTGGGATATTTTTTCAACATATTATATATGTATATCCAGTGACCAGGCTGATAGATTGCCATACCACATTATAGGTGCAGGTGTGCTCACAGACAAAGTGGATTCAGCTGCAGTATGTGTAATTTGCTCTCTTTATAATTTAAAATACATTTCAAAGCCAATTGCAGTATTCTAAATAAGCAGCATTATAAATGCACTCTCCCCTTGATCACAATGAAATGAAGTGAGTTATAGACAATACGCAGGATCAGTCAGACAACTTGGCGTCAGCTCACAGCTCAAAAATCTGTTAAGATTCCTGCAGATGCCAAGGCCACTATATCTCCATGGCTACCGGACATTGCAGCATCAGGTCAAAATCAAATTCTTGGAGTCTCTTTTTAGCCTCTCTGGCTTTCCTCTGGATGCTGGGGTTGTGGTGGCAGAAGCCTCGAGTCAATAACAAAACAGGAGAGTTGGCAGTAGCAGTTACTTCAGTGTTGTCTTGGGTTAGCCTTTTTCATAATGGGCTGCTGACCTGCAACCAAACTACACACGTCTGCATCTTTGTGAAAAGTTGTTTCCTGAGTATTTAGACACTCTGAATAACCGTGTACTAACAGTCCAGTTTGGTTCAGTGCATTTCACAGACTCCTGTGTTATATTGTGGGCTGTGAGGCTGAGCTGAGGTGTCTCATGGTTGTATCTGAATAGAAGAATGAGTTAATGTGTTAGCTCTATTTCTTTAAATATTTTGTTCCTCCAATTGTTTTAATTGCTTTTAATTGTTTCTCCTTATACTCCATTAAGTCCCTTGTTTACCTTGATTCTTTCTCACTCTTTCCTGTCTCACATTCAACATCACTATCACGGCATTTACTTCTGAGGCCTTTTCCCTACTGCGCATGGCTTTCCCTTTGCTCTTATGTTTATCCTGTAACTAATTTCCCTTCGTTTTTCTCCTTCTTCATCTTCTGACTGTGTTTACCCTAATCTTTCCTTCCTCCCTTGTCCCTCCCTCCTTCCCCGGCCTCACTGGAAAGGCAAGGGCAGTATTGCTGTAACTGAGCCAGCACTTCCTGGTGTTGTTTTGGGGGGCGTGGCTTGCCTTCAGTGAGGAAGAGAGGGAGGGCGAGTGGACTGCAGGATCTGTATGCCCAGTGCAGTCAGGGCTCTCTCCTCCTCCTCCTCGTTTTCCTCCTCCTCCTCCACAGCTGTTGCTACTGCCGCCCAGTGAGCAGCACTTTCATCGAGCAGCAGACAGACGATCCAGAGGCTGGGGAGTCAGTAGAGACACAGACCAGCCCGTCTCAGTACAGCTCAGCCCCGCTCAGCCACTTCAAGAGGCAGGGGAGGGGAGACACTAGCGCACACTGCCAGTGCTGCAACGCACACACACAATCAGACACATACACACACACACACATACAATTACACAGACAACCACTCCTCCTCTCCCTCTCTCTCTCTCCCTCTCTCTCTCTCTCTCTCTCTCTCTCCCTCTCTCTCTCTCTCTCTCTCTCTCTCCCTCTCCCTATCTCACTCTGGTGCTCGGCTCTGCACAGCTCCTCCACTCATTCGCTGCTGATTCACTCGCTCACTCGCTTGCCTCTCTTCTGCCAGTCGCTCTGCCTTGCTGCGCTCTGCCTGCCTGAGAATGGTCCAGCCGGTGCCTGGGGGTCTGCTGTCGCGGCCTGTCTGAACACACGCATAAACACACAGAGCCAATCGACACGCGGAAGCACACACACACAAACTGGAGAGCTATGTGAGAGGTAAGATCTCGGTTCATAACCCTCCTCCTTGTCTCATTGGTTTATCTAGATCTTTCCTCCTGTGTGTGCTGCAGTCTTCACTTTCCAAAGTAGGTGCCTGTGCAGTGGAGCATAGGTGGAGATATGGGGATTATTGTCCTTACTGTCTGCTGTGTGTGCACATTCAGTATGTGAGCCACAGGGTTAACATGTATTTGCTGTGGCTTTTTTTATAGATATAGGCAGGCACACACACGTGCACGTAGACACACAGACACACACAGTTAGACACATTCTTGGCTGAAAGCAGACAGTCACACAATAGCTACTTCCTCAGGGTAGCGCTAGTTAGCAAGAAAATTTGCTCTGTGTGTGTGTGTGTGTGTGTGTGTGTGTGTGTGTGTGTNGTGTGTGTGTGTGTGTGTGTGTGTGTGTATATGTTTTGAGGGCCGTGGTTGTTCCAGGAAGCAGTGGAGAAGATCAATAGATCGCCCACTCAGCTTTCATTCCCTCCATCTGACTCAACATTGGACATGTTGGGAGTTATCCTGCAGGGCTTGGTTAACAAGGAGAATGGTAAAATTTGTTTCTCTCTTACCTCTTCCCTCCCTTGCTGCGTCAGCCCAAAGGGGGAAGCATGGTTTTGCATGTGTGCCTGTGTGTTTCTGCGTGTGTTTGCTGTGTAAGGCAAACTCCCGCCCCGCTGCATGTAAATTATGTGTGACATGTGAAGCCGCTGCTACCTTATATGGTGAGCACAGTATTTCAGTACAGTAGAATCTTGCCAAGCATTCCGGGTCGCGGGAGGAGAGAGTGTGTGAGAGGGTGACTCTGTCTGTGGGAGTGTGTGTGTGTGTGTCTCGGTGTGTGTGTGTGACTAAGTGAGTGTTTGCATGTGTCTGTCAGAGGGGGAGTTAACTGAGAGAGAGGAAGAAGGAAGAAAGTTGAAGAGAGAAGGAAAGAGGGGCAAGAACGAGTGAGGGAGTGAGACAAGGAGAAGTGGCCCAGTAAAAAAAGGGATTTTACTTGTCGATGTCTAAACTGGAGTAAAAGTAAGTAGCTTCTTACTTTATAAACGCTTTGGGAGATTATGTGAGATTACCCTGTTAACGTTTTCCTTTCTATTCAGAAGTGAATTTTGTCTTTGTGGATCATACTAAGATAAATGGACCATAAGCGTTTTCATATGTGCGATTATATCTGGCTATTTGTCAGGCTCACATACAATAATTTTTGTACTTTTTTTTGCATTCATTTGTTCTTTATTAGAACCCAAAAATGAATTATAGCCGGACGTGTGTCTGGTGAAATACAGATGATATAAAAGTGGTATAAGAGCTAGGGAACCTTCAGAGCTAAAAACTCCAGCCTGGGCTCCCTCTTCTCCTCTCTTTGTCCCTCTCCTCTCCACCTCTGCCCTCCTCCCCTCGCCTCTCTGTGTGTTTCCTTTTGGTGGTGTGTCCGTGGTTGGGGCGATGATGAGGAATGTTGTTGTTGTGACTTAGAGAGATTCAGGGTGGCTCAGACGGTAGCTCACACACAAGTATGTGCAGACGTGCAAGCATGCGCAGCACAGACAGATGTGTGGCAGATTGCATTGTCGAGACCAAAAAATCCCTGTGGCAGCACCGCTGCAGGTAGACTGCTGATTTCTGTCTTGCAGAAGCGTGAGAAACATGATGTTGATGTCAATGTGCCTGTAGTAGGTAGAAATATCACATTACTCTATGTCTTTGATTGCATATGTGTTTAAATGGAGGTGCAAATTGCTCTCCTTGAATGTGTGTTGCCTATGATTTAGGATCTGCCCTACAGACAGGATTATATGCATGATTGAATCTTCGCTGACAGTTTAAGCCTTTATTAAAGGAGGGCTTCTCTGTATGTTCCTACTGTGTTTTGACCACATTTCAACCCTTGTGAGCAACAGTTTGACATGGCTTGGGCTGAGTAAGACACCTTCCACTTCCACTAAGCTAAAATGAATTAGCTGTGGGAGAGACAGCTATTTATTACACCAGTGATTTAATTTAATTAAGCCCTTAGCCTGCCATCATACATATCAGTTTTTATTTCCTATCAAGCAATAAGTAATTTCTGTGTAAGGTTTCTGTTTTCAGACATTGCAGTACAGAGAATACATAGTCAGTGTTCGTCTGTGTCTGAACTACACAGTCATGGTCAAAAGCAGGAGAAGCAGCATGTGAAGCTGCTGTTTGTGCAGGCAGTAATAAGTGTGGAGTTATTTCTTGGTTGTTCTGTCCAGAGGTACACGTGTCAACACAGGCCTTGTCCTTGTTTTTCTACCCCCCTGTAGCTGCATCGGCTACTGCTCACAGACGCAGCATCTCTATCTCTGAAGGAGCGACCCACAACATTTAATAACACCTTCTAGGCCCAATATTCTCTCACTCACAATCTCTTTTAAATGTACATCTCTATCAAGCCGTTGTTTCTATCGATGTTACTGCAGTGGATCTATGTGGATCTTAGTCAGTGAATGTGGGTATGTTACCTGCATTAGCAACATCTGCCCTCCATGAAAATGATTGCCTCAGGAAAAGAAGAAGATAACACTTAATCACCTAAAACTGCCCTGATGTGTTTTTTATCCATAGTTGTCTTTTGGATAGCAACTAGATTAAGCCATACCTGTATATATATAAATATGGATACAAATACAGGAATAAAAAAACAGCCTCTCAGTAGAGTGGTAATCCATCAATATCTGCTCAAATGGCTTAATTTCAATGTTTTGCAATCTTTATACTTTATCGGAGGGATGAACATCATTCTTTTGTAAGATATGACTTCATCGAATATCAATTAGTTTTAGATCTGCTGACTTGTGAGGTTATAAGATTCACATTGTATGAACATGCATCATTTGTTATGCTTTCTTCGCTCTTGGATTTTTCTGAAATTTGTCACCTGTTTGTATATGTCGAAAACATCTCTCAGCACATTCACACAGGCGACATCAATTTGAGCCAATGAACCACTCATTACACCGTAGTCCGGCCATTATCCCCCACTGTCTGTTGACTGCATCACATCCTTACACACACATACACACACACACACAAAGATGCAGTGTTGCACACAGGCAGATATTCACCACGGCTTAGGAATACTCAGTGTCAGGACACATAGAGGTTTTGTAAAGGTTTGTATTTGTGTGTCTTGCCAGTGTGTGCATGTGTGTGTATGTGCGTGCGTGCATAGCTCTGTCCATGTATGCTAAACAAGAGATCACATTGTCTCCAGAGGTTCGCTCTCAGAGGAATCAATAGCCATTGTTGGTTGTGTGTTCCTTGGCTAAGACTCACTTTCAGAACTGCGTTACTTAATCTGATGACAAACAAGTAAAAGTACTAGTTGAGATATGTTAACACCAGGAAAGAAGATAACCATGGTGGACATTACTCTAATGTGCTGGATCGAGGCTATTCCTGTGAGCTGCGTTTCATCAACAACCTTTACTCATAATAAAACCAAGCTCAAATGTAGTGTTACATTTATCATTTTAATGCAATGTACTGTTGACCTAACTCTATAACTCCCCTACAGACCTCACTGGGCTCAACCATATGAAAGGTTTTGTAGAAGAGCAATGGTGGATAGAGTAGCAGGCTTTGGTTTCTGTGTGTGTGTGTGTCAGTGTAAAAGAGATCAAGAGACAGCGAGGAGAACATGCTCACGTGTCCATATATGCACCCATGTATGTGTGCATAAAGGTCAGTGAGGGCAATATTGACCTGCTGTATCCTGAACGCATGGAACAGACGCATGAGCAGCAGCAGCAGTGAGACCTTGGGGGTTGCATTTCTTCCAGCGTCCTCCGCTGTTTTGACCTGTCTCAGCACACTGTCACCCTGACTACACTTCTGTCAATATGCTGAAACCACTCCTTTTACTGAATGGCATCAAACCAAAAGAGAAGAACGCCTCCTTCTCTGCAGTCAAAGCCGAAAATAGAAGCTCAGGCTAGAAGCTATGGGTTTGTTGGTTAGGTTGCCATAGCATGTATTTTGAAATTTACAGAGAATCATATCTTTATTTGTGCTTCAGCTTTGTCTCCTCTCAAACTGCATCAGTTAGTGTAGTCAATGTATTATTTTTTGCGTGACTATGCAGAACAGCGCCTCCAGTAACTCACGACCTGTGGTGTCAAGCATTGCCAAACTCCTCAAATAATGTTGCATTCAGTTGTTTCTCAGGAAGTCTTATCATAACTGTGAACCACACCCTCTTTCTTGTTGTCTCTGGCAGTTAGTCACAATGACAACTTCAAGACCAGCCCAGATTAGCATGTCCCTTAGATTGCTCTTACTTTTCACTCATGCCTTCATAAAAGAAAAAAACTCACTGTGTTTGAAAACCTCATAATGTCAGAGTAAAGCGTCTTCACTTCGTTGAGTACTGAATAATTTCGGACTCATTACCGAGAGAAAAGAAAAGACATGGAAGGCTTGCTTTTCATGTCAGAAACTGTCTGTGCCACTGAGGCATATGCTGGTGTCACATGACCATGAGCTGATGGTGTTGTGCTGATACTGAAGATATACTTCCCTTCCTGCAGCCACATAATGTTTCTACCACGTGTCCAATAGAGGGAAAGAAACCTCGCGAGCTCTCTCGCCATCTTCCCTTCCTCCATTGTGGTTGACCTTGCACCAGCTTGCAAGACCTTGAAGTCCGAGGGAGTGCTGCTGAACGCAAGCCAGACAGTCACATTGAGGGCAAAAAAGACAGAAGCACGGACGGAGTGAAAAGAAAAGAAGACATAAGAAGTGTCCGCTGGTTTTAAACAGTGGTTAGAGGAGAGAAGTAGATATTTTACAGTTGTCTATTTGAAAAGGGTGCCTTGGAGACAAAGAGCACTGACAGTTAAAGTGGGATTAGATAGAGGGAGTGGTACACTGACAAGAAAGACCATAGACATGAAGAAATCAATAGGGGAAGGGTGTCCATGTCCAGGCATGATGGATCATGATGAGTCCTCATTATCACTCTGGCACTGCCTTGCACCAAGCTATGTTCTCTCTCACAGATATCTGCTCGTCTGACTCGAATAGAAAACATAGAAACATATTAAGCAGCCAGGCTGAATGCAGGGGTCATCAGCTTTACCCATATCAAGACATAACATTCTCTCATTTGACTTATGAGTTCAGAAACAGTTGTCGCTTACCTGAATTTACCTTATTACAAGTCATATTTTTCACCCTGTCAGACTTAGCTGCAGCAATAAATTCGAGCAGAGTCAACATTATATGATGTTACAAACAGATCTGAAGGCATACAGGGTTACGCAGAAAGATAAGAGTTGGCTGACTTGGCATTTTCACAGCAATAAACATAATGATGAATGACTGAGTTCATGGGAATAGACCCGCCTTAAGCAATGTAAACATAAAAATGGCTTGGTGCACATAAGACTGGGGGTTGGGTTCCAACTCAGTCAAACCGCTTTTAGTAAGAAATGTTTTTTAGCATTAAACTGTATAAGAAACCACTTCTGTCATTTGAAAATATTGAATCTTTGCTGTTTGTATTTTATTGAAAAGTTCATTTGTTTTAGAGGCCTGTTTAAAGTGCGTGATATGGAAGATAATTTGCTGTGTTTGTGTTTTTGACGTGTGCTCCTGGGTGTGTGCATGCTGCGGGTAGGGCAGTTGTAGAATTTCCGTTACGTTTATGCAAGCAATTCAAAGGTCGTTTGTAGCAGCAGCGCTATATTTGCTATCGAAGGGGTCATCCAAGGTGAAACCAAGCAGTTTCTTGCTTCGCTCTGTTTGTCTCTCAAACATTTATCCATGTTGCTGGGTCATCATGACCAGGGCTGTGCTACTGCATGGCTCTGATATAGCATGTTGCAATGCTGCAAAGTTAGCAACGGTTCATAGCATTGCTGGAGGTTCACATGCTGTTCTGGGAAAAGCGATTTCTCTACAGAGGGTGTGGTGAGTTACCCTGCCTGTGCGATAAGAGCAGAATGGGCCCCCGGGAGCCCAATAATTCAGATTCCCCCTGCGAACCCTCTACAGTGGATTCACCAAATATAGTAACCTCTCGTGATCTCTTCTGCATGTAATATAGAGGACAATATTCAAGCGAAATGATGTAATGATTGTATTATGATATTATCACAGTAGGCAAGGTTACATCTGTGTGAGATCATCACTGCATAGCTGCCATGATGGCACATGAAATGGAGAATAATGTGAGACAAGATCTTATGTGAAAGGTTGTTTGTTTTAAAAAAACTCATCATATGTTCATGACATAGAAATACTGAACAGTTATTAGTTGAGTCTGTGTCTCTTCCGCCAGTAGCAGGCAGGTCAGCCTCCTCCCCCTGCTCTCACCTGGCGCTTAGCCCAGAATGTTGCAGCAACTCTGCTAGCTCTCATTGGTCCTCACACCACTGTGTGAGAAGGGAAATGACTAACCTCTTCTCCCTCATGCCCTGCCTCGACTTCCCCATTGCTTTCACTCTTCCTTTCTTTCACCTCTAAGCACACTTGCGATGGCCGGCTTTGCTGTATTCGAATGTAAGTGATACAGGCTTTGATCGAGTTTTTCCTGCATCGGGCAGAAGAGGTGGAAAGTTGTGAATAGCTGCTTTGTGCATTTTCTATGTGTGTATGAGGGAGAGTGTGTGGTGTGTATGAGTGTGGCGTGATGTGTGTATGCACACCATGTGTGTTTAGAGCGCAGGGAGGGTGAAAGTATTATTTGTCTTAGCTGACACCCCTGCATATCTGACATTTTTACATATTCTTCATTCCCACAGCTGCATAATTTAGTAGTGGAATTACTTTAAAAATGCTCCAGGTCAGAACCTCCTACGAAAGATAAACGAGAGAGAAAACAAACCTGGAAGTTTTCTTTGTACATGTATTATCAGACTAATCTTTCTTTCTGCCTTTCCTTCCTTTCTATCTCTCTCTCCCCAGAGGAAGTGCCTTCCCTGAGGTCTGCTGCAGCTTTGACCTGCTTCTACAGCTGAAGCACCACCCAGCCCCCCCCCCTCCCTGCCTTGCACGCTTGCTGCCACAGAAACAGGAGTGCAAGGACGACAACCACACCCTCCTCGCAGCCTACGGTTCGACCTGCTCGTCCTCTCACCATCATCACCATCCACTCCTCGCAGCAAGGCCCCATCCTGAACTCTCCTTAAAAGACGGCCCAGCTGCCCAACCGCTCACCACCAGCTGACCAGCCTTACCACAGCAGCTCGACACACCACCAGGCCCACGCAGCATCTCACACACCTTGCCTTTAACCTTCGCCTTTGACCCTGTAAGCCTCCACTTGGTCCTCAGTGTCCTTAACCTTCCTGTAGCAGGTTACACCCAGACTGTCACCTTTGTTGCCTGCATCACTGCGCCAAACCAGAGGGCTCTCGCTTTGGCCTGTCCGTCTGCTTGCCGCCTTGGCTTGTGAACAGTGTAGATGAGACTGTTCAGCCAGCAATAACCAGTGAGAGTGGAAAGTCAAGCCGAGACTGGCAACTTAATTGTTAGACCAAGTTGTCTGCTGGATATAAATCACTTTGTCAGTGGTTGTCTAATAAGGAAAATGATCCATTAACATCCCCAGCGATACATTGTGCTGTAACATTTCACTTTGGACAAGGAGCCGTCAAAGTCAATAGGAGCTTTTCTTTTTTTGAAAGTTTCATTTCAACTTGACACAAAAGTATCAAAGACTTTAACTGCACCGATAAATAAGCAAAAAGAAGACCTTAAAGTTGTGGATTACACTAGAGGAACTTTATTCACGCTTTAACCCATCTCCTCCCAGAATACATTTTGCCAGCGTGTTGCCATGGCAATGAACATAGCACATATCCGTGACACAAAGTGGCTGACACTGGAAGTATGTAGGGAGTTCCAGAGGGGCACGTGCTCACGCTCTGACCAGGAGTGCAAGTTCGCTCATCCCGCCAAGAGCTGTCAGGTGGACAACGGACGGGTCATTGCTTGCTTCGACTCACTCAAGGTAAGGAAGTGGAGGGTGGTGCACGGGGGATTCAAACAGACCACAGATAAGAGTCTGTGAGACTTAGCACATTTAGACTGACAGACCGTTTAAGGATATAATGGGTTGCAAACTAGAAATAGTAGTTTATAGTCTACATGAAAAGCTATTGCACCATCTGGCCTCAGCATGTGCTCTGCTTGGTTCTGCCCATTTCTGGTCAGGTGACTAGAACATGTGATCAAGGGTGGGGGTGGAGGGGTGTTCAGCGTTTTAGATTCAGGAAGCAGAAGTCATACATTTCCAACAGCACTGAGGAATTTAAAAGGACAGACTGAAGTATTTTGGCTGGTGTTACTGCATCTTTTCAAACAGGAGACATTCGTATTTCCGACTGATTACACAGAACATAAACACAGTGGCACGAACTTACAACATCAGCCCAGTCCCTCTGCCTTGTGCCAGCTTTTGAATAGGAAAACACTAGTGATTAGTCTGTAACATGTACAAACTTATGCGAGTGCCCTGAGCACACCGTGTCTCAGAAGCGAGCGAGGAACGAAGTGATAGCGTCATCATGCGGCTTTCACTCAGTCAAACCACTTCCTGTACAGAGGCCTCGGGGCAGTTGGTGGGGGTGTATCTCTATATGGATGTGTGTGTTTTCGAGCAAGGATGGGGGCAGAATTGGGGCACCGTATGCAGTACTTTTCCATTTTGTAGTAGGAAAGCAAACATCTCTTTTTTCTTTCTCTCTCTCATTCTTTGTCTTTCACAATCTGTCTTTTTATCAGAACACTCATCTCTAGAGATGGGCGGACCTCAACCCAAAGTTTCCAGCCTTGACACACACACACACACACACACACACACTTTTTTTTCTTACCTCTGTTTATATTCTGCCCCTCCAGACATTGATGACTCGTGGCCATTGGCAGTGTGTTAACAGGGTAGGGTTATGATGAGGACAGCGTGTGTGAGTCGACTCAGAGAACAGCGTTTATAGCCAGATGTGGACAGAGGAACATTGTCGGGCCCAAGCTGAACTCGTCCCAAGTTTCCTCACAATGTGGCAACAACTCTGCGTTTGTGTGTCAAAATTTGCAAAAGATGAATTAAATAATATTTAATCCTATCGAAAGGGACTGCAACCACCATTCTGTCTAATTTCCATAGATCTCTTGAGTTAATTAGAAAAATTGAGAATGTGCCAACTTTGCTAAACAGAAGCCAGGCAGGGCAAGAAACACAAGCAGTCACATGATCATATTTGTACTTACATATTAACTATAGTAAGTGTGACAAATCATACTTCAGTACAATGAATGACATTTAGATATGTGAACACAATTTTCTGTTTGTAAGAGCGATTATTGCAAATCATTTCTTTAGCTTTACTCATAAAGAATTAGATAATCTTGCTAAACTGTTGCTTGATTATGACCTGTGATGTGACCTGATGCTTCGTTGAAGAGACTTTGCGGTTTTGCAGAGATCTCAGAAATGTATTGGGTTTGTTAAATGTTTAAAGACTACACAAGTTAGACCCAATTTGTAATAAGCTGAAATCCTCATGTACATACCACACCTCCTGACTATCTGGACCTGACAGGTTGCTGATAAAGCCGTCTAGTTTTTATCTACAGGCGGAAGGATCTTGATATGTGAACATGTGTCTAAATTGTCATTCACGCTGAGGTCAAGGTCAGACAGTGGAGAGCAGTAGCTGGCAGATACATGGAACTATTTGAAGGAACCAAGGGGCCTATTTTAGCAGTTTGAACTCATTTTCCACAAGGACGTATGTATTAATGGAGATGGGTGATACTTTTTTTAACCAACTGCCCCATTTTTCCACTGGTAATGAAAAACAGAACGGGTCGCTAAAACCCACAGTGGAAAAAACAGCTAGCGAGAGAGAGCAATAGAGAAAGAAAGGGAGAATGGAGGAAATCAGAAACAAAGGCTGTTGATTCATTTTTAGCACACACCAGCAGATGAGACCCAAAACCATAAATGCACAGACACCCCAACGATTTCCTCTTACATAAACCCACAAACACATTCACAGAAAAAAAAATTGTTCTACTTCACCCTCACTCAGGATGAGTGGTTTAAACGGGACACATTCTCGATTTAGTTTTGTTACATGAAGCCACATTGCTCCCCGTGATACGTCCTGCACCCCCTGCACCCACACACACTAATGTACCCCCCTCGGACTCATGTGCACACACTCCGTGCCCATGAGAGTGGATCGACCTTCTTCTTGAGAAGTGTAAAATTAGAATAGGTCTCACATGATCACCAGTGCATAGCTGAGCAGGTCACACCCAAACCCAGTCATTTCCCCAACAGCCACTCTCTCTCTTTCTGGCCTCCTTTTCACATGGCACACACACACAAAAACATGTCCTGGACTAAACCACACTTGTGGAGTCCATGCTGAGGGAATTAGAGCAGGGACTACGTACCAGAAACAGCAGTAACAGTTAAATTGAAATATTTCATGGGAAGATGTTCTTGGCAGTGATCAGATGTGGATGATATAAGCCTCATGCAAGAAAATCAGTCAGAGCTAAATTTTCATCTAGGCCACAGAATTAATACTAAGTTGTGTGTGTGTGTGTGTGTGTGTGTGTGTGTGTGTGTGTGTGTGATGTAGTATAACGATGAAGCATGTGTAACATGTGCTCTTTTAAGCTGTACTGTAACTAACATAAAATCCAATAAGAGTTTAAAATGTTCATGATGTTTTGAGGAAGTAACCTACTTCAGTTCAGTTCTGTATGTCCTTTACTAAAACACATATTGGAGCATGATTGTCAGCTCAGGTTGCAGAAACAAGTGAGCCGATGCATGCCTTATGAGTTTATACTAGAATAAGTCTGACATAATATAGGTTACTCTACAGTAAATTAACTATAAGCTCCACCACACCCACACAGAGGAAAACCGCCAATTTATTTCCAGCACTGTGCCATCCAACTTCTCATGCAAGCCTATTCTAGTCAACTTCTCCTCCACTCCTTCTCCTTTCCTCCGTCGCTTGTTTTCATTCTCCTCCCATTTTGGTAGCTCCCTCTACTTGATTTCCCGCTCGGTCTGTTTTTTTTGCCTCATTTACTTCAGGCCACACCCATCCCTGGACAGGATGGTTCACATTACACTCTTATAGACCCACACACATGCACACACATGCAAATAAACCCACACTGCGTGAGTTTTAAGAGGCTGCTTGGAGTGACATCAACAATGACTTTGTGTGAACCCAGCAGCAGCAGCGTGTCCTTATTTGCCCCCAACACTGCCTTCCATGTCATAAACCAAAGTCCTAATAATGGTCTAGCATGGACAAGTAAAAGTGTGAATACACACACAATTATAGTCACGGCATAGTCTTTGTACTTTGTCCACCTGCCAGCAAGACACACCCACTGTCATCATGTCTGAGTTCTGGAAGAAAAAAAGAGACCAAGTGTGAGCATGTGCACATGTTAATGTGTGTGTTATTGCTGTGTTCGTGGTGCTGTTTCAGCGAGTTACTTTGTGTTATTACACTGTTCAGAGCCAAGATTACATTCCTGCAGAGCAGAGGGCGGGTGAATACCTCTTATTTATCTCCCTCTGTCTCAAACTCTCTCCGTCCCTCTCTGTCTGTCTCTATCTGTCTTTCCTCTTATTTCGCGTTCCATATTTTGACAGTCTGTATATATTCTTTGCTTCGGTGGAACAGTCAGGTTTAACACACACACACACACATAGACAAAAACTAACAGACACACAAAGTCAATGGTGGCCGGCCAGACAGACGTGCGGTAAATATTAGCCGTGTTGCTAGTCTACAGTGTTTTTTATGATTTCAAACAAATTGTCTGGCCAATCTCTGGGCTGTAAAATCAACATGTCATGCACTCTCTGTGTGTAAACACATGGTTATGAGTTCAGAAGGCTAATGTGTATTTGACACTGCTGTGACACACGTGCAGCGAACAGTTGTCCTTTCTGTGGCCAGTGACAAAGTGCTTAAGGCCATAGAAAAATAAATAGCACAATTTAGTTTGTTTGAATTGTTAAATTTAGCTCAGAATCTTTAATTGATTCCATTCTATCCAATGTTGTAACTAATAAACATGCAGGTGAATGAATCTAAGAGCAAATGAGCTGATTTCTTAAAATGTCCAGGGTATTTGATAGAAACCGATCGAACCCTCTTTGAATGTTGTCTAAATAATAGTGGGCCACATGCAGACACAAAAATGCAGTGTTTATCTAAATAGCAGCCACAGATGGGAAGTGTGGAATCCAAAGCCTCTCGTAGACGTGTGATCCTCACACTACTTGCTTCGCTGGCTTCTCACCAACAATTTCTAGCCCAAAGAAAACACAGAGCAGAAAAGGAAATAGGACAGTGTGTTATAATGTCAAAATAAGATTCAGAAGCATCTTTGATCGAAAAAGGTTTAGTTTCTGTAGCACTGTGCTAATCTCCACTCAGGGCACCGCAGCAAGGCTATAACTCAGACACTGTTTACAGGATACCACATGGGCCTCTGCCCTGTCTTCTGTTTGGCTGCGCTGCGTATTTAATGTGGCTGATTAAAATGAGCAGGTTTCACTTGATAAGAGCTGAGTCACATTATGGAGGCTTTCATGTTAGTAACCAGGCTCTTTCACATCTCTGTCCTCCTGGTATTCATGCAACTATTCTTTCAGCTTTCTCACTTAAATGCTAGAGGGATTTGTGTTTGGACCAGATTAATCGTAGCCTTCACACAAAGACACACACACTTACAGACACACAGAGTAGGTCTGTGGCCTGCTCATTTCATGTTGTGTGTATCCTTGTCAGATCAGGGCGGCTGTGCATTTTGTCTTTGAGCTTATGTGACGGAAGATCAACGACAACAGCCCGTCTCTTCTTCTCAGTGTCAGCCGCCCCTGTCCCTCCATCACACTGGGCCCCTTTTATAACACCACTGATACAATGATTACTTCTCTCGCCTCTCTGTCTCTCTGTC